GAACGTGAAGAGGGTGTGACATGTTACCAATGAAGGTTAAAGACTCCAGCCGTAAGATGACGCGACATGGACAAAGCGAGAGTCCTCACAACTGGACTGACAGGCCATTTTCTCACGACAAATGGAGAAAAGATGGACATTTTAAACAATTTCTTTTTCTCAGTTCAAAAAGCAACAGGGAGCTCTGATGACTGGCTTTTTGGTAATGAGTTGTGCTATCAAACCAAAGACATGTGGTTCAAATCCACCAGCTGCTTCATGGGAAAAAGATGGACAATCTCTTATCCTGTGCAATTTACAGCTTTTAACTCCCTGGAGGGTCAGTTACAACCCGAAAACACCACCAGCACCACCACCACTACAATCAATATCCTGGTAGCAGCAATCAAGAATTTAAATGGCATGACAGGTTACCCTGGGCAAACCTGCCATTAGATATCTCCTCAAAGCGCTGAAGAACAAGGATGTCATGTTAAAATTTAAGGTGCACCTGAACCAAGCCACAGTGACATTTTCAATTACTTCATATGCATCTGCGAGTTGGATGATGGATGTATAAGGAAGATCAAAGAAAACTCGGTGCATTGGAAATGCAGTGAAGAACACGAATTATACCCGGGACTGCCAAAGGGACAAACACATCTAACTTGGAAGGACAGCCAGAGGACGCCTTAGAATCAAGGATGTGAGAATCCTTCTCACATACTTTGAGCATGCTATCAGGAGAAGCCCTCCCTGGAGAAGAACATGTTAGGGAAAACAGAGGGTCTTCTCATGGCAAGGGCTTGTGACTGGAATAAAGAGCTAATCGAGGTAGAGACCATGAGAACGGGCCAGGAGAAGGCAGGGGTCCGTTCTGCTGTACAGAGGACCACCACAAGTTGGAGTAAATGCCATGGCGCTTAACAACAACAGTGTAATCCCCAGTAACTAGACGCTAGGGGCTCCAGGATCAATGGCACTGGAGGAAGGAGTCCAGATACAATAACAGCACTAGGGAAAACGAGGCTCCAGAACTGGTGCAAAATCAGCTGAGATGGTTCCACAAACGATTACAAGGCTGGAGGTCCTCCTATGTCCACGTCAAGAATCTAAAAGACTCACCTGGCTAGCTGACCGGAAGAAGTTCATGTTTATGCCCATTCCAGAGAAAGGTAATCTAACAGAATTTGGAAATTAGTGAACATTATCATTATTACATGCGGACCAAGGAACAGTCATTTGAACAAGTGGACACCTTATGTTTTAAAATCAGGAAAGATGTAAGACAAGGCTGTATCTTGTCATAGTGCTTGGTCAACCTTCATGCTGGGCAAATAATCTAACAGCTGGACTGTAGAAAGGAATAAGACATCAGAATTGGTGAAGACTCATGAACAAACCGTGCATCTGGATGGCACTACTTTCTCAAAGTGAGAGCTTGGAGCAGTTACTAATGAAGATGAAAGTGTACAGCTTGCCATGTGGATTACATCTTACCCCAAAGAGAACACAAATCCTCACCGCTGGACCTGCAGGCAACTCTGTGATAAAGGAGAAAAGATTGAACGTTTTCAGAGACTTACGTTACCCGGAGCCTCATCGACCAACACCTATGGAAACAGCACGAAGAAATGATGCCGTGAAGAGTTGCATGTGTGCATCTCCACAAAGGGTCTCTTTAAAAGGCTAGAGAGAAAGGCTGTCACTCTAAGAACAATATGTGCAGTCATGGCACTGTCACTCAGCCTCTTTATGTGAGAGGTAGACAGTGAAAAGGGGAAACTGAAGAATGGACAGCTCTGAATGGTGAAGAATGTGGAGCATGCCCTGGGCTCTCCTGGGGGCAGTGGGTGACCTGCAGGGCTGCTACAGGTGGAAATCCCAAAGACTTTCAGTCTCGGAAACCTGGGGGAGGGTCTCTATGAGCGGGAGGCAGCTCAGGGGGTTGGCTTTGGCTAGGAGAGCAAACGAATCTGTCTTGGCAGAAGGACAGCCACAGTGCTCCTTAGACGGGAGGATGGGAAGCCTTCATCCCACAAACTTTGGACATGTGATCTGAAGGCACCAATCCCTGGATTTACATCGTGCTTGGATCATGGGAGGAGAGGAAGACCCTCCAATAGGCACAATGGCGGCAAACACACCAGTGACTGGGAGCATAGTGCAAGACCAGGAGGGTTTGCACCTGTTGCAGGGTGGCTGTGCCGCAGCACCTGACCACCATTAAGGAATCCAGGCAGGCGGTGGTTCTTTTGCAAAGGATGGAATCTTCGGGTGGCGTGAACTCCACGCCCACTGCCCACCTGCCAGGTGGGGCGGCCAGGATTTCCTTCTACCAGGGTTGGCTCAAATAAGGGCCAACCTGCGCCGGAGTCCAGTGCCCCCTGGCGGCGTCAAGGTGAGGTCCGTGTCCGGACAGCGCGGAGGTCCGACGGCTGTGACTCAGGCGCTTGGCGCAGCCACCAGGGGTTCCTTCGTGGGCTGCGCCGTGGTGAAATTAATTACCAGCTGCTGGGAATCCTTGTCGCCCGCTCGTGGTGACTCACCGGGCGGCCAGGCGCACTGTTCTGAGAGCCGCGGGGACCTGGTTTCCAGAACGAATTTGGGGGAGAGCGCCTGCGCTAGGGTGGGGGCGCCCCACCTCCCTGCCTGAGGGCGCTCCAGATCCAGCAAAGACCCACAGCCCAGCGCCGCCCACGACATGTAGAGACACAAGCACCAACAAGCCCCCGAAATGGAGTGTCCAGGGTCGGCGAGGCTTGGGGGAGGAATAATAAATAGTATTAGTTCGGAGTCCCTGCAGACAAGGCGCCAAGCTTGGTCTGAGGGGCAGACAAGAGAGATGGAGCCCAGGAGCGAGGGCGCAAGCTAGTGGTGGACACAGGACACAGGGAAAGGGAAGGGCATAAAACTGACCAAAGCCTTCTCTTGGGAAGCAAGAAATTGCGCTTAGGTCCGAGCCTCCTATTGTTTCCCAGACTCGCCCTGGAAGGGCAGCTGCGCAGGGCTGGAAGCGAAAGGGGCAGGGCTGTGTCTTGGTGCACGTGGCGCCCAGCCTAGGGAACCAAAGAATATTTTCAGAAAAAAAGCAACAGGAAGGGAAAAGGCAAGATGGGTGTGACAACCTCCCTGGCGGGCGCCCTGACTCCCAGAGTAGCTGCTCTCACTATCCCCAGGGCTTCTAGGAAAGTGGGGCTGATCTGCAGGTGTCGGGGCCGCGCTGCTCAGGGATGAAGCTGTCCTGGGAACCCACCTCCTGGCGAAGTGGAGACAATGGTAGCTCCAACCAGTGACCCAAGCCCGCGCCAGGTGGCTGGTCCCAGGAGGTACCGCGTGCGCGGCTGCCGCCTCCGCGCTCCCGCCGGCGCACAGGATCCGTCTCCTCCCCTCTGTTCCCGCTCTGCGCCCGACACCGCCTCTCCCCTAAGCTGCCCATCTACCTTCTGAGGCTGAATCCGGTTGGCTTTCCCTCAAGCCCCAGGTCCCCGAAACTCGCCGGCCAGCGCGGCTGCAGCTCTCCAGGGTAGCCTGGTTAGATGGGCCCAAGCAGCCTTATTTATTCCCCATCCTCCACCCAGAAATCGGCCAGTGGCTCCGCCCCCGCCCCCACCCAGGTCGCCACTCGGCCCTCCCGCCTTCGTCTCCTCCCCAGCGGCTCTGGCCGCCTTGCCCGGGCTTTCTCCGCGTGCGCCCTGCACCGTGCCCGGTCTGCAGCGAGAGCCGTGGCGACCGCCTCGCCAGCTGGCTAGGGACCAGGCGGAAGGCCTTGCGCCCGGGAGGCTGCGGGAAGGAGGGAGGACGGGGGCTGGGCCTCGGTGTAGCCCGCCCCCCGCGGCCCTCCCGCCAGAGCGGGGCTGCCACACACACGCACTCTCTTTCTCTCTCGCTGTCACACACACAGACACACACGCACGCGCACACACACAACACACACACACACACACACACACACTGGGGCTCCCTTCGGCGCGCGCGCACGCAGCACCCTGGGCAGCCCAGGACCGCGACTGCCTCCCAGGACGCGCGGACGCCAGAGGGCCCGGACGGACCCACGCTCTGTTCATGCGCCCGCGCCAGCCCCACAGCTCCGCAAGGCCCGCGGGACCTCTCCCGCCGCCGCCGCAGCGCTTGCCGCCCCCAGAGGAGCAGGCTGGCCGGCAGCCGCCTCACCGGCCCCCAGCCGCCCCCGAGGTCGCTCGGCCGTGAGCTCTGCCTGCCCGGGGCCGCGCCCCGCTCCCGCGCCTCAGGGGCTGAGCCCAGCAAACTTCCCAGAGCGGCCGACGCCCGAGTGGGCGGGGGGCGCACAGACCTTGGGGCCTCGGGCTGCCCGCTGCACCTGTTCGGTCCCCTCCCCGCTGTCAGGGGGACTCCGGAGACGCCGCCACTTCGCAAACTTTTTCACCCCCCGAGGTGGGGGCGAGGAAGGGCAAAGGGGGCAGGAGGTCCCTTGGGGCGCGCGCACCTTCGGG